TCACCCCCTCTCCGGGGAAGAGCTGAGAAAATAAAAAAAAGGCCTCTCCGGGGAAGAGCTGAGAAAATAAAAAAAAGGCCTCTCCGGGGAAGAGCTGAGAAAATAAAAAAAAGGAAATCAGCTGTTGCCACCAGCTAATTAACATGTGCACAAACCTCTTAAGACACAAAAATCCAATTCTGTTCTTAAAAAAGGTCAATTTTATTAATAAAAAAAAGAAAGAGAATACAACTGGGAACTCAGGCTATTGCTAGATTTTAAAAGAGCAACGACAAGGATTAAGCACCAAGGATCGCTTTCTTGAGGTCCAGCTTACAGGTTACAAGCTAAACAAAAGCACCTGGGATTAGCCCTTAGGAATCCACAATCGCGTCTTCCTAGACATTTCCTAATCTACTTGCATATCTGGGGTTTTAAATGAGTAGTTTCTAGGTATGATACTGATGATTTTTTCATATCTGGCCCAGGCTTCTCACAGCACAGCTGCTGCCCTGTCCGCCTCGCCCCAGGAGAACAACAACAGACCGACAAAAGGGGAGTCTTTTTTCAATTTCAAAAAGTTCTAGCCTTCCCATCTGCTCTTTTGGCCAGATGCCCACTCCCTTCCTTTTACCTGTGCATCACAGTGAGAGTTTTTAACCCTTTACAGGTAGAGCAATTAGAGAACAACTACTAAGAGGGATTTTATAGCTACTGGCTGGCTCGGTGTCTATAAAAGGGAGCTCCTCTCCCCCTCCCCCCGCTTCATTTATCACAGGGATGGGGCGGCAAAAGGAAGAGGAATAGGAGATAGAGAGCTCTTCTAGTCTGCACTCACACAGCCCTAGCATTCCTGTCCTAGGGGTTCCAGTGAGGCAGTCGCTATAGGGATACTGTGTGATTAAGAATAGGAGGGGGGTTAGGATGGGCAGTGGGGAACAGGATGAGAGGTGAGGGCCAGACAGGGGGAATGGGGCCATGGGAAAGTGTGCCAGTTGGTGGGGAATGCGAAATGAGGGGTGGGCTGGGCCAGTTGGAAAGGCAGGGGGTCTGGTTGAGAGGGATCAGGAATGAAAGGGGGGCCAGTTGCTGAGGACTGGTAGGGGAGACAGGTCCAGTGAGTGTGGAGAGGAAGAGGAGCCGTATGTGAGATCATCTCTCTACAGAGCAGCGGGGCACTATACAGACAAATCTGGGAAGCTCTGCAGTTTCCTGGGTCTCTTTGTGGGACTGACTGTGTTCCGTGAGTACTAGTGTGTGTTTCTGTTGTCTCAAATAGTCTCTGGGTTGAAGCTTTCTCTGAAGTTGTCAGCATCTCTTGCTGATGCTTACAGTATTTATTCTGCTGTCAGAACAGCCCTCCAGGTGTGGGGACTTTGCTCCTAATCACCTTAGTGTTTGTTTGCCCAGGTTCACTTTCTAATTTCTGTTTGTAGACTTGCTGTATTTCTTATGCCTTTAAAAAGCAGAACTAAACCAAACCCCAGTGTTTCAACCGCTTCTTTCTCCTTAAAAAAATAAACCCACCTTCCGCATTCATGAGCAACCTGAATAAGAAAGTACATGTAACTGGTCCTCCAATACCAAAGCAGGGCGCTCAGCTCAGTACCCGGGTGAGACCCTACAATAACAAAGCCAGCTGCATGCAATAGAGGGAATAAGTACTATGGTTAGGACCCCAATTTTGCTGCAGTCTTGCGAAGAGCTCTTTGAGACCGCCATCAGGAAGACATTCATGTGCAATTACAAAGAGTTCAAAGCCCTTTAAACTCCTTTTTCCAATTGGAGAGGAGGGGTTTGATCTGTCTTGTAAGCCCTCCACAGACACTTGCTATCCAATGGGGCCCTGAGCAGTAGAGGCCGCCCACGGTTGATGACCTGACTGCTATACCAGGAGGTGGGAGAGCCCAGCTAGAGGGAAGCAGTAAAATCTGCGTTCTTTAGATGGGAGTGTTCTCAACAGGCCATTGGCAGGCACCTGCTTTCCCCTCCCCTAGGCAGCTCTCAGCAGTGAGCACAGCTCCATGCACCTGCTGCAGCACTCGCCCACACACCATGAAAGCTCTCCGGGGCCGCTACACTCTCCTGGTATGTACCGCACCGCACCGCGTGTGCCCAGGGGAGACGGATGGGGGTTGAAACTCAGAACAAACCGCAGGCAGCTGTGCTCCGTAACTTGCTTCTTTCCTTTCTGAAACAGGCTGATCAGGTTCAGCTGTAAGATGGTGCAATGACGCTAGCTCGGATTTACTGCTACTGGGGCATCAGTTACCAGCTAGATTTCATTGATTTTAACAAGGGGACCTTGTCCAGAGTGCGTAGGCTCTTACCCTTCCGATTGGTACTATTCCTACTGGAGAAAGTCCTGACCCAAAACCCTAGATCCAAGTGTCCCCAGATTTGGGGGAACCAGATCCAGTCATCTCAATCCAGCTCCAAACACTCCTGGACTACAGGAGCTGAGATCCAGAGCTTGAGTTAGAGGGTTGGGCCCATTTCTAAATCCCGGTGCTGGCTTTGAACTGTGCACCTGCAAACCTGCAACTCTCCATCACGGATATGACAGCAGCACGGGCGGCAGGCTGGGTGTTGTACAAATATGTGAGAGACACACTCGCTGTCTCGCAGAGACTGCAGACGGAAAAGAACAGACAAAGGGGCGAAAGCAATACAGCATACAGGCAAAGTGCCCTGGCTGACAGCCAACACAGGGTGTAAATGTTTGAGTTGTTCTTCCCTTCCTTTAATATGGAAAATGAAGGGTGCTTGTTAGTTACAGAGGTCTGTCCTGCTCTCACTGCATCTGGTGCAAGCCTCAGTGTAGATGCAGCCTCAATGGAAAGGGGGCTGATGGTGCGATAGACCCTGGTAATTTACCAGATTCACCTGCACTGGGCTGAACCCCACTTCACATCCATGTCATGTGTCTATATTAGGGGTTTGCACTATCAGTATCACCTCAGCTGTGCAGTGTCTTTAATGCGGACATGGCCCAGCTCCCCTGGCCAAGGGCCCAGCCTGCAGCATCCACCTGCCTTTTCAGTCACAGCTGGCTGCCCAATGTAATCTGATCTGTTTTCTTTTTAAATTGTGATTCTTCGGTGCGGGGCAAGACCAATCAAAACAAACAGGGGCAATGTGGCTCTGACAAGCTCCAGCTCTGTTTACCAAACATCAGCACTGGTTCTGACCTGCATGTGGATCAACGGGGTCCCAGAGCCAGAGGTGCTGGCTTCCCACAGTAACAGGTCCAGGGCCTGACTGTTCCAGGGCTCAGGTCTCTGCCTGGAAAGGAATGTGATTTCAGCACCCGAGGTGGGGTGCAAAATGCTGCTGCTTGCTAATTGGTTTCTGTTTCTGGTGCCGGTGGGACTTTCTGTGCATCCTTCACTGTGTTTCCTCCTAGCATGCGTGCAAAGGCAAGGGGAGAGAGAGCTGTGCCTTGCGGAGGCAAGTTCTCATTAATTTAACGCAGAAAGAGAGTTGCTTTGCAAGCAGCCCAAGAAAGAAATGCTGAGGCAAGGAGAAAAGATGAGTCGGGAAAGCAACTGACTCTGCTTTCAGCCTTAGCATAGTCCAGCTGGGCCCTGAGTCTTGACTTGAGCAGATATTAGTGGACTCTAGGAGATCTGACATGCTTCCTGCTATTTTCCCCTTGTTTATTTGTTTGCATTTTCTTTGGGGATGGGAACTCCCCTGAGTCAGGGAGCGAAGATGAGTTTCTGACCAACTATCCCAGCGAGGGGAAAGCAGGGCTGGGCAGTGATTTCTGCCTGACTCATGGGGCACGAGTGCTGTGAAAAGGCTTTAGATCTGTCAGGGCTGAAATCTCTTGTACAATATCGAGCAGGAAAACTACACCAAAGAGCAAATTCTGCCTTCGTAATTTGCCCTTCTAGACTCTGCAGATGTTCGACATTGTGCAATGTCCAAGTACTTAGAATCATAGAATCATAGAATATAAGGGTTGGAAGGGACCCCAGAAGGTCATCTAGTCCAACCCCCTGCTCGAAGCTACTTGTCGCAGCCGGTCACGTAGCCTCAGAAATGTTTAATAGGCGGAGCTGATAGAGCTACCTGTAGTAAAGGCTGCTCGACACTTTCACTGTTCTCAGGTCTCTGCTTGAAACAAACAAACAAACAAACAAAAACCTCTCAGCTAAAATGTCCAAGAATGAGATTGGGGGAAAAAATTTCCGTGCTAAAAATATTTTTGCAGTTGTTTAACTGAGACTCTCTAGGGCCTCCACGAGTTAGAGCATAGCCTTGAAATCCAGAGTGTGGTGTGCGGGAGAGGGGGTTACCTTTTGTTCTTCCCCTGAGTATTTGCCCAAATTAGGTCAAGTTATAAAACTATGAAAAAAAATCTCAGTTTGCAGATGCTCAGTAGACACTTGTTAGAGTTTGGCAGCTAAATTCTCTGAAGATTCTGCCTACACTGAGCATGTTCCACTCCCTTAAAGTGCCTAAGTGCCCACTGCACAGGCGCCTTCCCAGGGCTGCAGAGGCTGAGGTGGGCTATCCCTGCATTTGTTCCCCTACAGCTGGTGAGGCCTCCATGGTGCTGCGTGCTGGAACTTTGAGCCGGCAGCCAGTGTCTCCTGCGCTCTCAATGCTCCCTCTGCCAGTGCCCCCGCAGCATGGTGGGCAGGAGGAACCAGCCACATTGGAATGGGGTGAGGGGAGGCCAGGAGCAGGAGCCAGGGACATGGGAGGAGCAGAGTGAGAGGGAAAAGGGGAGTATGTAGATGCTGAGGGTGAAGACGGTGGGAACTAGGGTGGGGAAGATAGGATAGGAGCAGAGTGGAGTGTAGGGGAAAGGCATGGGGCTAAGGGCTCTATAGGTGCAGAGAGAGCAGAAGCCAGGGGATGGGAGCAGGTGGCTCGGGGACAGGAGTCAGAAAGGGTGGGGTGGACAGGAGCAGAGGGGGAGAGGATAGGAGAAGGGAGGGGAAGGAGCCAGGGGTTAGATTGGTGGATAGGAGGAGGAGGAGGGAGGAGCAGAGACAGGCTAGGGAAACAGGAGTAGAGGGATCTACAACCACTAGATCACACTCCCCTACAGATCCTAGAATAGAACCCAGAATTCCTTTGCTGTCATCAAATAGCTGTGAAACTCACTTCTCCTCCTCTGGGCCCCATAGAGGTTAAAGCCTACTGCTGCTGCTACCGGCTCCTCCGGTAGCTCGAGTAGCAGAGGTCTGTGCTGTGGAGCAAAAGACCGAAGCCCTGCTGTGGACCCAAACTGAGGGTCAATATGAGGGAATTTTCATTTTTCAGGGGGGGTTTTTTCTTCAAAAAATTAGGAAAGTATGTCCCCAAAACCACATTAAAAGACTGTTAAAGTTGCCAAGTCAGGCACGCAAAAGCCAGGAAATGCCAGGATCAAGATCGCCCATGCAACCCTTATCCAGGTCCCCCGGGGGCCGCATCCTGCATTTGAGTTGCACTCAGTAGCACCTGAGCAGCAGCGGGCAGTTTGCCCAGTGGCAATACAAAGCCTGGTGAATACTGGCAGCCCGCCCCTTATCGAAGCCTGGGAGTGGGGCGGCAGGGCAGGTGTCACGTTCTCAGGAGTCAGCTAGGCGTTGTGGTGCAGGGTGCCAGTGAGCAAAACAAAATCACAGCAACAATGCTGAGATTCCCAGAGCGGGAATTATGTGCCTGGCTCCCTATGTGACAAATGGGGAGACAAAGGTGCCTCACAATGCAATTCACAAAAGCCATCAGGGGAGGTGAGAAGCCACCTAAGCTAGCCAATGGGAGAGGCCAGTTAGAACCGCCCCCTCTCTGCTTGCAGGTCTGAACCCTCGCTTGGCAGTAGGTGCCTGTGCTGTTAGCAAGATGCCTCCAGCACATCTTTGAGCCCCATGATTAGGACCCTCACCTGGAATGTGGGAGATTCCTGGTTCAAGTCCCCCCACTGCCTGAGGGGTAGAAGGGCTATGGGGTATTCTCATGTGGGGCTCCCTCTCTCTCTCCTGTCGAAGCTGTTGCACTGGACAGAGTTGGTGTGGAGCCCTCGGGATCCATGCACACAGTGAACCAGATCGTGGTTCGTGGGGCAAGCCCAGGAGTTGGTACATGGCAGCCAGGCCCAGACTGAGGGGCGGTTCTGGCAGCCTCTTTATTCTGTGCCAGTAACAGAAAGGGACCATACAGAAGGTGAATTACCCCAGGCAGGGGCAGCACTGGCCCAACACGCAGCCCGATATGCCCCTGACTCCCACAGCTCCCAGTGTAGGCAGTGACAGAGGGTGGGGCTGGGCTGGGAGGCGGGCACGTGTGTTTCAGCTGTTCTGGGCTGTGGAGCAGCCCTGGGGTTGCTCTCTCTCACTCCAAAGGCAGTGCTGTGTCCTGGAGCGCCCCAGACTTGGGGAAGCTAAAAGCCACCTTTTTCCCCCGCTGCCTAGGGCCTGACCCACGCATTGGGCCCTTGAGAGGCTCAGACTGGACCCTGCCCAGTGGGCTTAAAATGCCCTCTTCTACTGAAGGGCTCACCGGGCAGGGCGTGGGTGGTGCCAGCCCCATCTCTGTGCACCAGCGCTCTGGATGGGATGTCCAGGAGCACTGTGGCTGGGTCCGAGGGGGAAGTGCTGCTCTTTGTGCTGGGGTCCCTTATCTCTTCCCCACATGGCGTGGGCATCTCCCCCGAGACTGACTGCCTGGAGGAAGCCCAGACCCTGCAGTGTGTGGAGACTGCTGAGCAGGAGGAGCCAGGCCGGGCAGGCGTGGGGGTAACAGCATCGCCCCCAGAGGAGCCCTACCAGCCGGTGCTGAATGGAGAGAGCAACATCCTGTGTGCAGGGCAGGTCCAGCAGGTGAGCTCAGTGCAGCCTGGGGGCTCACCCCATTGCAGGGCTAGGTAACCTCACGGGGTCAGGCTGTGGCCACGTGCTTGGCAGTTCTAGAGCCTCCTCTGGCCTGGAGCTGGCCCCTCCACCCTGTCCTCTGGACAGCTCCTCACTGGGATGGAGCCATTCTGTGGGCACCCCAGGGCATGGAACTCGTTCCCCTGGCCGGCCCGGCCCTCCCGGCTTGGTTCAGGCTGGGCAGTGCTGCTGTAGGCTCCTGCTGTCGTTTCTCTGATTCGTAGCCTTGGATCGGCTCACCGCACAGGGCCTGCAGGGGCAGTTCGTGCACCAGCACTGGGCCAGCTCGGACCTCGGGGATCTCAGTGCAACTGGCTCCAAAGCTCTGCCCTGTGGGACTCAGAGGACCATTCGCTCCAGAGACAGTGTGTCACTGGTGAGGGTGCGTGAGCAGGGACCAGCCCCGTCTGGCTCAGGGCCCAGGGGTTTGCCGGGCTGGCAGCTGGGGAGAATGTCCTGGTACTTGTGAAAGGAGGCAAAACCTGATACAGACACACTGAAAGACAGCAAATGTGGAGTCCACAGAGCCACGTATCCAGTCACCCCGCAGAGCTGAGCCCCGTTGCCAAACGACAAAAATAATGAGCAATAAATGCATCTAATAAATCATTTGCCCGAACTGACCATTACCCCTCATTCCTCCCTTCAGTGAATAGCCTTCCACCAGCTCCAGGGTAGGCCTGGACCACAGTGCGCATTCACCAAGAGGGGTGATGTCCCTGGCAAACCTCGTTCTGGGGGTTCCCCCTTCTGGGACTGGGACACTGGGATTGTTCCACACCCCCACACTGCAAACGCTCTGGCAAATGTTATCCCGAACATCTCTGCCGCCCTGGAGCTGTGTGGGTTCTTCACCCTGAAATAGGTGATAGCAGATAGCAAGTGTGAAAAATCGGGACGGGGATGGGCTCTGTGCATGCAGCCCCCACGGTGCCATCCAGCCCAAAGCCAGACACCCGGAAGAGGACAGCGGGGAGCAGTTGGGTGAGGGAGGGTGTGGAAGTGACTGATGGGAAAGGCTCCTGCCAGAGGTCGGGGAGCAGCGAGGGACCCTGGTGGGAACTGACTCCTGTGGCTCTGTTCCCAGCTGGTGCCCCACCTCCCACCGAGAGTGACCGGGTACCCTTGGAACCTGCTCTACTGCACCGCCAGGGATGGGTTTAGCCTGAAGAGCATGTACAGGAGTATGAACAAGCTGAGCTCTCCTGTGCTGCTGGTCATCCGAGACACCGACAGGCAGGTGAGAGGAGGGAAATGGAATTGTATATTGCACTGGGCTGGGCTTCCCATGCGAGAGAAACATCCAGCTGCTACAGGCCAGCACAGCTCTGGACCCTGCACACTAGGGTCATCCTGCAGGGTGTGGCCCAGGAGCCTGGCTCCCCTTTCTGGCTGTAAGCCCCTTTCTGGGTCCAAGCATACCCCGCAGCCCCACACACTCTGTGCTGGCTCCCATTCCATCCAGGGCATGTCAGAAACACAAGGCAGGGAAGCTACTGCCCTGGTCCCTAGGTTGGGTGGAAGACCTGCAGCCCGGTTCTGCTCTGTGACCTGACAAGTTGGCTAGGCAGAGGGTTTGTGGCCTGGAGTTGGGGTCTGTGTGGTTTATCCTGAGCAAGCTGCACTAAAGGGGATGGTGCTGAGCTCTCAGTGCATTTGCCCTGGGACTCCCAGAAGAAGCAGGCAGAGACACTGCTTCAAATGTGTTTACCTGACCTCAGTGAATGAGCTGGGGACTGAGGAGAAGAGAGCCAGGGAGATGGACTCCTGGGGGATTCTGCACCAAAAAATTAAAAATTCTGCACACAGTATTATAAAATTCTGCGAAATTCTGCATATTTTATTGGTCAAAATACCACAATAGAATCATGGCAATTTCAATTATTTTGGTAATTTATTTCAAAATACCTGTCAGCCACTATGTCAACAATATGGACAACAAAAAAGATTTCCCCAGGAGTAGAGAGTTAAAGAAACCCCTATAACAAAGGTCTTCAAACTGTGGGGCGTGGGCCCCAGTGGGGTGGGGAGAGAGCGCCACCCAGCCCTGGCCCCAGGTCTGCTCTGGCCCCGCCCCCAGCTTTGGCCCCGGCTCCTGGCCCTGTGCCTGACCCTGTCCCCAGCCCTGTTGTGGCTCCACACCTGGCTGGGGACCCAGCTGCCAGCCCTCAGCCTGGGGCAAAGGCTGGGGGTCGGGGAAGGAGTTGCACCCAGCCATAGGCATGGCTGCCAGCCCCCACCATGGCCCAGCTGCGGCTCTGCTCCCACCCCTGCCTCGAGCCTCGGCCCCTGGCCCCAGACCCACCCTCAGCTGTGGCCCTGCCTTGGCCCCCTTACCCTGTCTGCGTACCCCTCCAGCGGCCCCGCTCCTGGCCCTGGTTCCAGGGAGGAGGCGGGGGGCGTGGACTGGGGCAATTACTTTTCATGAGAAATTGTGGGGGGAAAAAAGTGATTACATGCGAGTCAGGGCCACAAGGCAATCGAGTCACAAGTTGCTGAAATTGTTACTGTAAGGTAAAGCAACAACATTTCACTCCCCACACACCCTGACCCTTCCAGTTGAAATATCCTCTGCCAACCCCTGGAAACAACGTGCCCCTGCCCAGGAAATTCTTAACATGTTCTCATTGGTCCACTTTTTACTCCTACTTTTATAGTTAATGTAAAGGGGTGGGTTGCGAAGATTTTTGACTATGAATAAGGGGTCGCCAATCTGAAAAGCCTGAGAGCCGCTCCTGTAGCCCACGGAGCCCCTCGGGATCTGAAACGAAAGGAACGTGTGATCTGTTACAGTTCTGGGCTGTCCCTTCTAAGCAGAGCAGCGACAGGTCTGGAAAGAGAAGGATTTGTTAAGGAATTCCAGTACCCAGACTGGAGATCCGAAATGCAGAGTATGCTCAGTGCAGCCTGGCACACAACCCCCGACCTTACAGTGGTGCTTGCCATTGTTTTGAACTGGCTATGTGCTCTGTGCTGGCCTCAGAGAGTAACCCGGCATCTGTAGACTCACATGGGATTTGACTATGTCAGCATGCTGCTGAGTAAACACCAGCGGGAGGGCAGATGCTGCTGACTGTGGCAGGCAGAACTGTGCTGTTCAAACACACTGGGCGATCTGGAGAGCTTTTTGGTGTCTCTGCCAGTACGAAGCACTGGCCACCCATCTGCACAAACATATTAATTTCCCAGTACTGCACATGGGCCACGGCAAAGGCTGCAATGAAAGGCGTGGTGCTGAGTCAGTGAGGGAGAGAGTTGGTAGGAAACTCTCCATAAACAGGTAAAAGCTGAGAAAGCTCCCTCAGGAGTGGAGACGAGAGCAGGAGGGGCTGGTTGGCAGGGCACCCTGGGTAGCACTCTCCTTGGTCTGGGGGGAGAAACCCAGCCATGCCAATACATTGGTAGGAACAGAGGGGCCTTTCAGTAGGGGGTGGAGGGTGCTGGGCTAGGGCCTGCAGAGCAGGGGGCAGGGGCTGGGCTGCTGAAGGCAGGCCAGGGGTAGGCAGGGCACTGCTGAGGCGAGTGAGGTGGTGTAGCTGAGCTCTGCCAGGGTTTGTTGTTGCCTTTGCTGTCTCTCTGTAAGCTCTGGCCTTGGCCCAAGGTGCGAGTGAAACCTCCTGAACTTCTGGGCCACTAAACTTCTCTTGCATGCTCACACCCCAGGCTCTCCCCATTCTGTATGGTCCATGGCAGCCCCAGGGCTCCAGCCTGCCAGCCCAAGGGGCCTGTGGGATGCATTCGGAGTCCTGGGGCGTGGGAGGCGCTGGCCGGCTGCTGGGGAACACGTGGGCTGTTTGCAACCGGGCATTCCCAGCAGGGCTCTCCTGCCAGGAACTAGTGAGCACCCAGCTGCCCTCTGGTCCGTCTCAGACCAGGACCTCCTCCTCTGGATTTTTATTAGAAGAAAAAGGACAAAGAAGCCGGCCAGTGAATGAGCAGCAGCGTCCTGCCCCAGGGACCCAGGCTAGCTGCCAGGCTGCACAGCCATGGGCACCAGTCCCACTCAGAGAGACGCTGCAGCGGGATCCTGCAGCCAGCTCCGGGCACCGGGGAGCTAGTGCCAGACCAGGAAGAGGTGGGAGGCAAGCAGTTCCCATAGTCTCAGGGATTGCAGGGTGGGCCTCTTATCTACCAGCAATAGCATCCTGGTGCCTGTGCACCTCCTGCAGCCCCACATGTCCCACCTGCTAGTTCCCCCAGCATCCCTTTCCACATTCATTGTGACCTTAGAGTGCATCCCTGCTGGTCTGGCCTATCTCTACCCTCCCTGGTCTCCCCTCACCACCTGACCCGTCTACGCCCCCTCCCAGGCCCCCTAGGCATGTGCTAATTCCTGACCCACCTCTCTTCCCGGTCTTCTCCTAGGCTAGTCCCACACCTTGCTGCAGGGAGCCCTGCCCTGCCCTGCCCCCGGGCATGTCCCCAGTCCCCAGATGCTCGTTTCCGTGGGTCTGCCCATTGCACAGAGTGAACTTAGCCAATCAGTGAAGGGGACACATGCCCCAGGCTGGCGCAGGGCTCAGCCAGGCCTTTCAGCCCCTCCCTGACTGGTCCAGACTAGAGAGACCGCCCCCCTCCCCCCAGATGCCAGCCTTTTCAGCACTTCCACTTCTTGTCCCAGCTGAACCAGGGAGAGCAGAGGTGACCGGAGAGTTAAACAAGCAGAGGAATTAGCCCAGCATCTCCGGCGCGCACAGATGGTAGTGCTGGGGTGACCGCACATGCCACTCATCTAGCCCTGGATAGCCAAACCTGGCATAACTCTTCCCTATACCTTGGCACCCGCAAGCCAGAGATCAGTGCCACCCAGGCAGGGAGTGAGGGGCTCACACAGTCCAGCCATGCAGAGCTGGAGCACATGCTGGTTAATATACCAACCCGCCACTGTCCAGTGGCATGGGCAGCTCTGGACTCTGCACACCTGGCTCAGCCCCAACCCAGCAAGAAAATGGAGTTAACTCCCGAGAGCTCACCCCCTGTGTGCTCCCACTCACCGTATCACACCCACAGCTACAGCACACGCACCCTGCGGGCTCCTCGCCCCTCACCGCAGCACACTTGCCCCCCTGCCGGTAGTGGTGGGGTAGCACAAATGCTGTGCTGGGAGTATGGGGGGTAGGAGGCCAGAGGTCCTAGGGGCAGTGCTGAGGCTGAGGGCCTGTGGGGTACAGGAGTGGGGGAGAGCTAAGGTAACGTCGGCTCTCTGTAGTTCACCTACTGCCAGTAACTCATGCAGTGCAACTGGGCCAGGCTGAGTTGTTGGAGGGGATCAAATAATCCACCCGCAATTCCCCAAGGCTTTTGCATCCTGTGTCTGGCCCCCCCAGACGCTCCTTGGAAGGGGCTGGGACTGTTCTGGAGCCCATCCCCAGGTCCCCTGCCCACGGTAGGCATTGGGGTGTGATTGTGTCTCCCTGCAGTGGATGGCTCTGGTAACCGTACAGCCTGCTGGTCACAGCCAACTCCTTCTCACATGGTCACGGCCTGGGCTGCTGGTGATCAAGGTCCCACGCGCCGGCCCTGCCAGCAGCAATGGTCTATGGGCAGAGCATGCGAGTACTTGTAGCCACAGCCCTGCATGACCCTAGCTGACTAGCACATGGACACCTGTCCTCAGGGAGCATCTGCCAGTGTCAGGGATTAGCCCAGCACTGGCTGGAGGGAGGATCCAAGGGGTGAGGCACCTTTCAGATGTGATGGTGATGGCTTTGTCCTGTCTGATCGACCCCTTTCCAGCTTGGCTGGAGCCCCGGTTACAAGCCGCAGAACCTCCTGACTGAGTGATACAACCTGGAGCCACTGGTCCTCCCCATAGGGCCTCCAGCGTGGGATGTGGAGACCGTGGAGGGGAAAGCGGCGCCATGGACTGGCCTGGGTAGTGACTGTGGGTAACTGTTCATAATGGTGCCTAAAAGCCTGGGTGCAGATTCCAGCAGCCTTAGGGCCCTAGATACCCTGCGTTTGGGAGGGGAGCCAGGGCACACACAGCCTGCCCTGAGAGCTGCAATGGCTTGGAGAGGTAAAGCCAGTAACAGACCTTGCCCAGGTCACTTGCTGCTGCTGGTAACTGCAGAATTACCCAGCAGTGCCCAGCAGAATTACCCAGCAGTGTGCCCAGCAGTCACACATCACAAGTGAGGCCTCCAGAAATCACTCACGTGATTGGTTTACAAATCAGGAGATTTTTAAAAATAATACATTTTGGGTTCTTTGCCTTCCGGCTTCATTTTGTATCTAATGCAAGCTGAGATTCCCCTGGAATCCCAGGACTCCGGGAGCTGGGGTTTTAAGGAAACCCCAATTACAGCAAAACTTTTGTTAAAACCATGAGAGCCGGCAGTGCTCTGACCTTCTCTCCTCTGCTTCCATTCCAGATGTTTGGGGCCTTCTCCTCCACCACCATCCGACTCAGCAGCTGCTTTTATGGCACAGGGGAGACTTTTCTCTTCTCTTTCTCCCCAGAGCTAAAGGTAACAGTGATGCTCACGTTCTCGGTGCGGGGGCTTTGGAATCAGCCTGTGACTTCTCTCTCCCAGGAGCAGAGACAGGGGCTTCTGCTGGCCAAGGCCCAAGTGCAGCGCAGGCCCATGGGCATGTGGGGGTGCAATCATGCGGGGGAGGGCAAGTCCACAGCATTTCTGCTTCCCCTTCTCCGCCAGCAGTGTGCCCTTGTGGCTCTGCCCCCAACCCTACAGCAGGAGCTCTGGGTCACTCAGCCACTCTGTGTGTGTGTGGTGGGGGGGGGCTCCTCCACTTCCACCCTAAAGGCCCCATGCTGCTGGTCAGCTGCTCCCACATTCCTTCCCCAGAGTGTCACCGGGAACCACGCTGGGAGCCGAGCCAGCGCTGGGGAGAGCATGCTGCACTTCTGGGAGCACCAGGCCTGTGCTGGCCCTATGCCTCCTGGAGCACCCGCCTGGCATCCAAACAAGTCCTTAGTGCTTCTCTTGCTCAGTGCTGAGCAGGACGGGTGCAGGGGGGGATTGAGAGGCTGCTGCTCTGAGGAAGGGAGCATGTCACTAAGCCCCTCTTTAGCATGATGGGCATTGCCCACCATTAGCTGTATGTCTCCTCTGACAGCCATGCTCCACCCACCCCTTCACACCCTGCACTCTTGCCTCATGCAGGGGCTTTGGGCTTGGCTTAGTGCACAGGGCTGAGCCGAGCCCCCTGCAATGCGCACAGCTGCTTTGTGCAACCTGCTGCACACCACACAAACCTGCAAGCCCTAGGCCGCCCTGCTACGCCCGTCAGTGCCCACCGCTGCAACCAAGCAGGCTGCTCCTGGGAGCCTAGGTGAGAAGAGGCCTGGAGGGCCCAAAGTCCGCGGCATGTGGCTGATTGAAGCAGCATGAGTCACACCTTGCACAGCATCACCGAGACAGCTTCCTTCCCAACCTGCAGGCACCGCCTGAACTCAGCAGGGCACGGCCAGTTCCTTCCTCACTGCCTCTAGAAATAGCTGCGTAACCCGGTTCCCAAGCCAGCCCCGCCTCAGGGCTCCTTTAACCGGCAGGAGCATTTAATTAGTAGGAATAATTACCAGTAAGTAATTCCTCTCCTTAGTCATTAAATAGTGAATTAATTGTAACAACAGAACTAAGTAACTGACTAATTCAGCATCTGATTATGGAAAATCACTTGACGTTCCTGCTAATGACTGGCAGAATCAGACTAACCCACGCTCCTGAGGGCACAATCAAGCGTTGCTTGCGAGGCACAGCTCCTCTGGAAGCTGAGTCTCCGAAGGACTGGGCGGAAGCCTCCTCCTTGGACCCCTACAACACCCTAGAGCTTGCGACCTGGCTGGCTTCAGAGGTGTTTCCGCCTGACTTCTGGAAGGGCAGGGTCAGGCCCTAAGAAATCCCAATAGTCCATAATGCTTTTCTCAGGGCCTGACAAATCCACCCGGGTAGGTGTCCCCCAGACAGGCACACCCCGCTCCCCCCGCAACACTCGCTGCCCATCCCCGGGAGATACTGCAGCAGAGCCCCAGCCTGGGATCCAGTTTGGTGACTGATCAAATCTGAAGCATTAAGACCCCTTTGTGCAGCCAGCTCCAGCCCTGGCATAAGCTGCACTCACCAACATCAGAGCTGAGGTTTGCTCCTTGCTTGCCTGTAACCTGGGGTTTGGTGAATATTTCTCCTTTCCAGTCATAGGGTGGCCGGACACAGCAATAGACAATGCGTGCTGTGGGTTGGGGGGATGGGAATTCTTCTTGTTACGTACATGCTAAGAACTGGGAAAGCCACTCCCACAAATAAGACGTCTTTGGTGCTTTAGAGCTAAGGTTGCCCAGGTGCAAATCATAGAATCTCAGGGTTGGAAGGGACCTCAGGAGGTCATCTAGTCCAACCCCCTCAAAGCAGGACCAATCCCCAACTAAATCTACTGGAGTACCCGCTAAAATACTAGGAAACCCTCCTTGCCCTTTCCCGCTGTACATGCCGTCTACCCTGTCCCTAGCACCTCACCATCCAGCATACACACACCTTAGCCTGCGCCATGCTGCGCAAGCTGCTGGCATTGCCTGGCATGGGTGGTAGCTCTGGGGCAGGCGGACAGTAGTTTGGGCTGGATTGTTGTTGTCACACTGTGTTGGACTCTGGCTTTGTGGTGGGAGATTAGGAGCAGGTTACATACCAATGTGGCTCTGGAAAGATTTTTAGGAACTGTTTGGTGCATGAAGGTGAGAGTTAGAGCTGCTTAGAAAAATAGCCTTTTTCCCCCCACACTGAAAAGTTCAACTTTGTGGTGAAAAATGTTGGCTGAAAACTGAAAATTTCTACTCTGACTGGAGCTGCCGTGCCTCACGGGCATTGCAGTTCTGTTACCTAATGCTCTGAGCAGGGTTTTCTGGCTGGACTACATCGCCCATGATGCACTATTTTCTCCCTGCTTGGTGATGGGAGGAGGTGCACAGAAGTCCCTGGCAGTGATGCATCATGGGTGATATAGTCTAGCCAGAGAGCCCTATCCATGGAAGATGGTGGCAGCATGAGGCACCCGAACTATTAATCCCATGAGACACTGTGGTGGTATTTTGAACCAGAATGTTTTGGATTTTCACCTCTTTTTGCTAACAAAATATTGAGATTTTCCACAGCAACAGACACTTCATTTGCTTGAAAATCCAAATGTCTATCAAAAACAGTTTTGATGGGACCTTTTCGAGCAGCCCGAGCAAAAACATCTGTGACACAGGTTTTGTGTTGTGTTAGGCAATCGTGTTCCAGGGGGCTGCCATGTTGGCTTGCTGGGCTTGGCCTCCAGGCTGCACATTTGTTGGTGTGGGGCATGGGGGCTGTACGCTACGGGGGCTGGAGAGATGGGTGAAAAAGGAGCAGTGTGTCCTGGGCAGGAGCAGGAAGAACGTACCTGGGTGTTTCCTAGTGTTTTAGTGAGTGTGCTGCTGGGATCTGTACTGGAGCAACCTTCATTCTCAGCAAACCAAGTGTTTTGTTTGGGGGAATCTGCCCAAACACCTGGCTAAGTCAACTGTTGCTGGGACGGGGGAAATAGTGACTGGGAAGTCCTTGGTTTTCATAATGATCTAACAAGGCAGCTTAGACAAAATGCTGTAGGATGATGGAGAGTTCAGGTACCTCCCGGCTCCGCAACCTGCTCAGGCCCTTGGCCTTCAGCCTGTCGGATGCAGCCACTTGCTGGGCTCGTGGGGGTCATAACACACGGGAACGGCCAATCCCACTTGCTGCCTCACCCGGAAGCAGCCGGGAACAGGGCTGTCAAACCGAGTCCCATCTCGACTGTGGCACAGACAGTTCTGTTGGTGAGATTCCCATTGCGTTATAGCAGCTTTATGCCAGCAGAGCCAGCGTGAAGGTGCCATAAGCCACAGCAAGGCCCCCGTGGGGAACGCTCCGGCATGCAGCTCTGGCACAGGGGTGAATTCCTCCTTGGAGTCCAGTCTTGCCTGCATGTGGGGGCTGGCTCTGCCTCTGACTTCAAAATCAGCTCCGTTTCCTAAGGCCGCACGCTGGGAAACCCAAACACAAAGACAGTTTTCGTTTGTGATCCTGTACGGCAGCCACGGCTGTGTTGGGTTGGGGTGGGGAGGCTGCTGTATTGTGGGCTGAGTGCTGGACGATGTGGGCAATGCAGGCGAAGTTTCAGGTGAAGCCTCTCCTTACACTAGGGCCTCTTTCCTCCTCCCAGTTCGCTCCATCTTTCTCCTTTTCTGGGGCTGGGGAGCTCCGTGCACAACACCTCCCACAAGCCATTCTGACCCGCAGCACTGAACTGATTTATCAGCCTCCAACTCAGCTAATTCAAACCCTGTACCTTATCAGCCTCATTTCCTCCCCCCTCTCCCTGTCTGTGGAGTTCAGAGCCACCCCAACATTTAGGGGAATTGTCCACACTAGGAAGAGCCCTGGGCAGTTACTCATTTAACCCCTTATAGGCCTGGTGCACCCTCTGCTAAGCAAGGCACAGGAAATGTTGGCTCCTGGCACAAAGTGCCACCAGGACTGGAACACGAGCTGATAGTGTGAGAACCTGCTCTCTGGCCAGCACTGCTGGTACACCTGTGACTGGCCAAAGGTGCAGTCTAGTGGGACTCTCCCCCTTCCTCACCAGCGGTAGCATTCATCATCCTGCCACATCGCCAGCCACAGGGACCCAAAGCCATGAGTTAGACCCCAGGGAATCACGAGATTCCTTTGTTATTGAAAAATAACAAAGGTCAGTTCTTATTCTTTGCCCCCTGGTTTCTGAACCTGGAGGTGCATTCGGGTCAGAGTCACCAGCTTTCCTCTGCTACCACAAGGGCCAAAAGCTGACATATTTTTAAGGAGAGCCAAGAGGCTGATGTGCTGCTGAAGTGACTCCAGGAGCTGGGGCTTGAAGAAATCAACCATCCCAATAGTCCCTATAAAAGCATGCGCGAGGGCAGCACGGCCAATGCTGACTCACAGGCAGTGGGACTCATCGGGAACAGGGCTGTCAGCTGGCACAGCTCCCCCAACGCGCTGCCTGTGTTTACCGCTGCGGTAGTGGCTATGCACAGCCCCATCGGTGACTGCACTGCCCCGGAGAGCGCCCCTGAAGGCAGAGTAAAGGAGCTCGCACCACTCCAGCCAGGGAAGAGGGGCACTGTGGGGTGCTGCTTACCCCAGCCACATGGAGTGGAGGGGGAGCCATGCTCCCCTTACTATAGCCTGTGCCTACATTTTGCTAACCAGGACTCTGGAAGAGCTAGAAAAGATTCTGCCCAAGTGTGACATACTTCCCTGGGGCACAGCCTGGAATTGAGGAACCGCTGAGCCTTCTGTCTCACCAGCCTGGGCTCCCTCTCTCTCTGTGATGCTGTGACAAGCTGCAGACCCGCTCCCGGTCCTGCCCTTCCACAAACGTTCATAGTCTGGGACACTCCCAGCTGAGTTACATGAATGCTTTCACCAGCCACCAATGAACCAACACTAGGGAGGCTTCAGCCAGTTCCTCCCAGCTCCCCAGCCTAGGACCCTAGAGCAGTGCCATCTTGCCCTGGTCAGAAGCCTGACCAGTGTATGTTATTACCCAGTCCACCTACTCCCTCAATGTGGAGAGGACAATGTACTAACCTCTGTTCCTGAGCAGATTTCCCTTTGCACGTCAAATAACACACTGTTTTCAGGTTAAAATATAAAAAAGATAGATTTTAAGTGATTACAAGTAGTAAGTCTACAGATCAACATAGATTAGCTAAGAAATAAAACAAAATTGCAATCTAAGTTCTATTAAACTAGACAGGATTTGAATCAAGTAGTGTCTCATCCTGATGGTACAAAGAGTTCACTGATCTGCCATATACAGTCTGGGATTCCTCCTTTCCCACTTGGGACCACCTCTGCAGTCCAGTCTCTGTCCCTGAGGTGTCTCCAGGTGTTGAGTTGTGGGGGGGAAGTGAGGCCAAGTGATAATGTCACTTCCCCCTTTTATAGCTTCTCCCATGTGGAGGGAACTTCATGTTCCCAAACAAAGCCCCCAGCACAGTTAGTGGAAGAGTACAGGCACAAGATGGAGTCCAGAGTCATATGAGTTGGTCACCTGTCCTTGCATGCTTTGATTACCCATATTCTGGCTAGAACGTTCACAGGTCCAGCAGGTGGGGCTAAGCTTCTTCCATGGCCCATTGTGTTCACTGATGAGCCACCAACCTGACTGGTTCATTCACAGTGTGCTGGCTAGACGATGTAAACTATTTTGTGGGAGCTACTCAGGAGCAAACACATTTGAAATACAGATACTTAGTCAGTATTCATAACTTCAGATACAAAAATGAAACAGGCATGCAAATAGGATAATCATACTCAGCAAACCATAACTTTTCCATAGACACCTCACATAACATGTTTTGTACAAGATACATCATAATTATATCACCATGGTAGATGTGGGGGGTGCCAGGGTGTTGCATTGGGGTACAGAGCATCACACCAGGTTTCACAGTGAGCTGGTCAGGGTTGGGGAGCTGGTGAATGCATAGTGCAGAGAGGATCAGTGACGCTCTAGGCTGAGTCTTGGTCAGTACTTTGGGCCAAGTAGCTCCTGGTGAGTGGGGTTGCACCGGTGACCCCAGCAGTCATGGCAAGCCACCGCTGACCAGCTCCCTCCACACCTAGCAGCACAGCTCTCCATTCCTGGGCCAGGTGCTGCCCCGGGGGTGTAATTAGCTGTTCCTACACCCCCGCTCTGATTGCTAATGGTTGCTTCTCCTTACAGGTGTTTAAGTGGACTGGCAGCAACACCTTCTTCATGAAAGGAGATGCAGATTTGCTAGTGATTGGCGGGGGCAGGTATGTAGCTGACTGGATGGAGCTGCCTTTCACTGGCTAGAGTTCTGGGGCCTGTTCTGCCTAGATGCTCCTAGGGGCCCTTCTGCCCTCACAGCATAGGGGAAGGCTGGGGCTGCAGTACTCCAAGCCAAGCACAGCACAGCCCATCCTGAGCCAGCAGCCAGAGCAGGCAAGCGGAGTCCTCCATCCAGTCACAGGGGTCTGTGTGGATGTATCCACTCACACACGCTGCCCTCCTGGAGGCTGGAGACAGACCTGGCTGCTGTCCTGAGATCTGCTGCGCTGGGTAGCCTTGGGAAGTGGAAATGACTTTGCTCATCTAGTGCGCCTTCAGCCCAGCCCAGTCTAGGGAAGGAGGCTCCAGGGGAGTCGAGTACATGATTCCTACCAATGAATGGATCTGGCTGATTTCCCCTCTGCAACGTCCATGCTCAGAGGTGAGTGAAGGGTTGCAGACGTGTTTGCACTGGTTGCTCTGTTCTCAGGGTACGTCCACACTTGGAGCAGGAGGAGTAATTTCCAGCTTGCGGTGACATCCCTGGGCTAGCTGTGATGCAGCTGGTGCACTAACACTAGAAGCGTAGGGGAGACAAGGCCATTCCCCTGGGAGCAGAGACACTCAGTACTAACAGGAAGGGGGGTCTTGGGGAGGCTGGACAGCCCCCCCCCCCAGTCCAAGAGTGGGGGGACAGGTAGCATAGAACATGAAGCTGTGTGTCCCCTGGCAGACCGACTGCGAACCCCTCTGCCAGCACTGAACCCCTGTGTGGGTAACACATGCTCAGCCTGGTCATGGCCCCAGCGCTTTGGGAAGCGCTGAGCCCTTCCCTTCTGCCACCACCCAGCGCTTTGTGACTGACCGCATCCCCTACCTGCTGCCATATTCCAGCCAGTAACAACACAGGGATGTACCTGACAGAACCAGTTTGCACCAGGACTCCCCTGGAGTTGACCTTGACCAGCTAAATCAAGGTAGAACCTGCATGTGCACCAGGAAGAGGACGGGGGCTAGCCATGCTGACACCCCACCCTACCCCACCCACCTTCCCTAGCCTAGAAAAACCCTTGAAAGTGATCACAAAGCAAAACTGCTCAGCAGCCCCATGCCCTGCTCCCTCCAGAGTTCCCCGTGTGCATGGCACTGCCCCTCCTGCTCTGTTCATCTTTCCTGGTCCTGCTCAAGGAGCATAGCAATGGCTGCAGGAAGCCTTGGCTAGAGCATGGCTCCGGCTCCGGCTCCAGCTCCTTGCAGGTTACGCAGCCTCTCTGCGTATTCACCTAGCTGTGAAACAAGCACATTAAAATGCCCCGTTGCCCTGAGAAGCGGCTGTAGCAAGGGGTGTTGTGGGGCTCTGAATGATTCACTATCGTGTGTGCTCGGCTAGAAGGAGGAAGCTATTTCTTCCACCAGCCCTGCATCCTGCCCCTGGATCTGAGAGCCAGGCAGGGCTCTTCCCCCTTCTGCAGCCTCGCCGGTAAAACAGGTGCTGCAGGGCGAGTCAGGAGCACAGGGCTCCTGTCCAGCCCATTAGCCTCCAGAGGCTCCCTCAGTGCATCTCCTTACCCTGCATGGGGCTGCACCAGCAGGAGCAGCTGGGCTGGGGGCTAAATAAGGCGTCTCTAGTGCTCATCAAGAGCCTAGTGCAAAGTGTGGTAGAAAGGCAGCCTTCATGCTGCGCTCAATCCTGGGCAGTGCTGAGTACCCTGCAGTCACTGAGAGCAGGGGTGCGTTGTGCTTGGCAGGATCAGGCCCATTAGCTGTCCTTACACATGGGGACAGAGGCAGGGAACCCTTGTTAGCTGATGGGTCAGAGAGGCCCCTGCTCTGCCTGTCTTGGCCCCGGGACTGGAGCCCTTGTCCGATACTCAGCTTGATCTTCCCTTTATTTTCAGTGGCAAATTCGGCCTGTGGCTGGATGGGGACATGTACCGCGGGGGAAGCCACCGATGTGAGACGTTTGACAACGAAATCCTGTCGCCCCAGGAGCAATTCTTCATTCAGGACCTGGAGGTTTGGGCCTTGACCTGAGCCCTCAAAGCCCACCCCACCGGGGGTCATGGGAACTGACTGCTTTCGAATGGACCCTGGCTGCGCTTGGCAGTTGTTCCCAGCAGTGTCTGGAACCCTTCGGAGGGCAGTGCTCAGCCTCTCCTCCCCTTTGCCAGCCTGTGCTCCTTTCTCCTCCCCCGCCAGCACTCACGCTCCGGAGAGGGCAGCAGGGGCGTTCCCACCCATTTTCCCATCAGTGCGCTCACGCTGTGGGGAATCAGAGCAGCCCCAGGGGCTGGCTCCCACAAGCACTGGATCTCGATAAAAATGGAATCTCACAAGCAACTGGGTGATTTAAAAATAAAATTCCCACAGGAAGTGACTGAGTGTTAGCAGCAGGGGAGCTGCCAGCTGGGGGACGCCCTGCCAGTCAGTGCCGTGAGTTTGGGAAGTGAGCTCAGCTGTTGTCTGCAGTGAGTGAGGCAACCCCCCCTTCAAGGCAGAGAGAGCAGGGGCACCATGAGATGTGATAGCCAGGCCCCCTCCACTCTCAGAGAAGCTTGTTGAAGTCAGGCCAAGACCAGTAGCGGTGGTGCCTGAAAAGCTACACACGAAAGGGGCACACATTTTTCTGAGTAGGAGCCATGTTAGTCTGTATTGGCAAAAAGAAAAGGAGTACTTGTGGCACCTTAGAGACTAACCAATTTATTTGAGCATAAGCTTTCGTGAGCTACAGCTCACTTCATCAGTATGCATCCGATGAAGTGAGCTGTAGCTCACGAAAGCTTATGCTCAAATAAATTGGTTACTCTCTAAGGTGCCACAAGTACTCTTTTTTTTTTACACATTTTTCTGTTGCTTGTCACAAGATGGGCCTGAATCAAAGCCCCAATCCCAGCAGCCCAAGTTGCAGGAGAAGTCCAAACTCTCCCACTGCCTCCTGTCCCTGTAACAGGCCAAAACAAATCCCACAGCAAAATCCCTCCTGATTCATCCTCCCATGAGGTCATGGGGCAGTGCAGGGCCTGAGCAGAGCATGGTGGTTAAAACCCAGCCCAGAGACTGCCACGGTGGACCTAGAGAGCCTGCAGCACTGATGAGCTGTTGGCTTAATATGGCATCAGACTTCTCACCACAGCTGGGGTGACTAGGAGCTAGCTGTGAACTCTGTTCAGACTCTGGAGGCTTAAAGCACATGGGATTCAGCATTTGGATTCCCTCACAGCAAGCTGAAGCCCAAGAGGTGAGGAGTTAGGAAGAGGTGGCTCTAGTCTATCAAGGACTGTGTCATGGATGTAGTCTATCAAGGACTGTGTGGCTCCACATATTGAACGCTAGAGTTACTTGTAAAACTTGAAGAAATAGGCAGATGAATCCAAATCAAACCCTCTGGCAAGGAAAGCATAGAGAGGTTTACTGGGCAATGGAATGCAACACCTAGGGAATGTGATGAGGCCCCATTACTGGATACATTCAACACTCTCAAAAAGGAGCTTTGGTACTTATGTAATCCCCTCTGGCAGATTCACAGTCCCTTTTTACTGGTCACTATCTTATCTGCCTATTAGCATCCCTCCCCTCGTCTTCAAATGCAATCTTCATGTCTATAGACCAAACGTCACATTCTCTTCCAGTAGCATATGATGGTAAAACATTGCTGGTTCTCTCTTTATTTATTACTCACTTACAATAGCTGAGAATTTGAGGTCACTTTGAGCCATCATGACCATTGTGGCAGCATCTCAGTAACATCATGCTAGGCACAGGTCTCCCATCTGGCTGCTCTGGGAACCTGCCACATGTCTCAACACAGGACATTGCTTCCTTGGCCTTCTAATTGGCCTGAATCCTTATTACCTTTCATGGTGCCTTAAACCTGAATTTGACTCCAATCCAAAATTATTCCTGCTCCAGGGGACTGGGAATAGAGCCAATCTCTCTCTTCCAGCATGAAGAGCTTCCAAAGCACAAGGGACATCACAGCAAACTGATGGAAAAAGTCATTCTAAATTGGGCTCAGACTTGCTTTAGCTATGAATGTCTGTCCTTTAAGAATGCATTTGGCAATTTTCATTTTAACTGTGCATTAACTGTAGTATTGATTTTAATACAAACAATCCACACTGCAATTCTATGAAAAAAGTTGTATTAAAATATTTGTATACATTCGTTTTCAGTCAACTCAGGCTCAGTCAGTTTGAACTATTAAAAAAAAAAAAAAAGATCCAGCTCAGAGGTAAAGTTTCACCTTTCAGAAGCAAAAAGCATGGCTCTCTCAAGCAAAAGATTTTCTACAGAACACTCATTAAAATAGTTTCAAATAAGCAAATACCTTGAAGTGACAGCTGTGAAATGAATACATTATTCTGTATGTAATGTTTCAAGTTGCCTTGAATGACAGGGTTTTAGCACAACTGCTTCACTTTCAGTTTGATGAAGTCAAGTACATTCCAGCACTGTTAGAGAGGTGCTTCCCAAGTCCGTGAAGATTTCTGACAACCACCATTTCATCCACCTGTAGATCAGAATCACTGGTAGTGCACTGAAAAGGGGGTTTGTACAACGCCCCCCTCTGGTGAACATATGGGCTTCTGCATATTAAGAGAACAGCATACCAGAATTATGGCCTGCCTCCATCTGGTAATTATCAGATGCCATCTCTAGAAGGGACAGTTTAATTAATTTCATGTAACAGAGCTGGTCTCTCACTGAAGACTTATTACACTGATTTTGTATTCAGACCCACTGGTGACTAACACCTGACTTCCAAAGTCAAAGGTTCAGAAAAAGAGGTTAAGGTTGTTTTCTTCGTGTTTCAGGTACTACTTTAAAAAACGGACACAGGCAACTTAAAAATCCCATTTCTGTATGAAGATTTTTTTTACTTACTATGTTTCGAGGAATCTCTAAATGAAAGACTGGAGGAAAAATCTGCCTAGTTTGTTTGCCCTGTATACTGGACAGCCATTTGTCAGTAGTCAAATCGGGTCCCCACCCCATTTGTGCTGTCTGACAAGACCCAGGGGAAAGAACATTTAAATGGCAGGAAAAAGTGATTGTAAAGCCACAAAAACACAATCTAAAAAACAGGGTTAAAAAAAGCGCCACCCCCTCACTGACGCACTTTTCACTTCAGTAAGGCTTAAGAAATCTGAGCTATAGGCTTGGCTCTGTCAGAACATGTGACAACACAATTATCTTAAAAGAAAGGGATCTGAAGTAGGGGACATAAAAGAGAAAAAAAATTGGGAAGATCTATACCGTCTATGACATTTGCCCCAGTAAAGGAAGCTGGGCACTTGCGGCTCACATTTCTCTGATTTTAGGGAAGTCAAAATCATGTTGAAGTGCAATGCTAGTTACAGTACAGCAATGGTAAAATATTAATTTCCTTTTGGAATTTTATGGCAGTTTGGGGTATTTCAAAAGCCTTCATTTTTAAAGGTACTCTTGCTACACAGCCCCCATACATTCAAGTCAAACACTAGAACAGCAGTTTGTTCGTTCTGCTGCAAGTCAATGTCAATGCTCGCAGGGCTTTTAAATCACTATGTTACATACAGGAAACATATAGCAACTTAAAAAACTGCATTATTGTAAACTTGTTCTGTAAAGCTTTTCAAGTAGGTTTTATACAATGTGCTGTTCCCTTTCAAGTATCTTTTAAAGGGATAGAAGGAACAGCGCAAAACTGTTACTGGAAAGGCTTTAAATATTGCAAATAAACTCCATTTAACAAATCAGTTATTGAAAGAGTCTGGTTCTGGATTTTGAAGCTTCCCTGCAGTCATTTGCACTTTGCAATTCATCCTCGTCAGGGTCATTCCAGCTTGGTTTCATTGGAGTTAGTTCAGGGGCGACCACATCACCATCCTAGAAAGTAATTGAAAGGAAGTCGAGAAAAAGTTACCAAGTTTTACAAGCACATTCTTACTTTATTATTTGTCTTACTGTAGAAACCAGGACCTCATTGTGCTAGGTGCTGTACAAACAGAACAAAACAAGAAGCACAATTTTAGGCTTATGAATAGAAAGGATGAGAAATGAGCCATAAAAGGGTCATTATCAATGACTGAGCACTTTGTAGGTGAGAACTCTGTACAAACGTATCCGAGTCGTTCAGCTGGTACCCAAAGCTTAGTCACCAATAAATCCAGGAAGTAGGTGAGCCAGAAAATACTTAGTGTATTATCACACAAAGTGAGCCCAGTAACCATCCCATTGTCCATCTCAAATTCAGCTGTCCAATACTGCCACAACAAAGTGCTGAGATCCTGCGGCATACCTGTGGCATGGATTACCCACATTCAGTTTTACAGACTTGGCCACGTTTCACCTGTTAAGACACATTACTATGGTGCAATGAACTGGTGTGGTGTAAAGCTGGTTGCATGATAAAATTGATATTGTTAGAAGCACGGAAAGCTTTTTACGAATCTCACATGCAAAGCACATTGTAGAAATTAACTCTGATTTGCTCTCAGAACCCAGAATTGTTACAAAAGGATGAGCCCTAAGGGGACTCACATGCCCAAGATCATGCCTGTGGAAACCATATTCCAGTGGCTGGATTTCTGGAGGTACTGAGCGACCCCCAAGATTAGCTGTGGGTGCTCAGCACCCCTGGAAAACAAGCCCTGAGGCCTAACACACTGGTTTTAGAAATGCTCAATACAAAGTATTATGCTTCGTCACACTGAAGGGATTTAAAGCTCTACATTTTTTATTAAAGGACATGAAACTAATTTGTGATGCGAGTACGTTTCTCTCAGAGCTCCTCCAGACTACATTTCATGCAGGGAAAGGTATTTGAGAAAACATCTAGACCTGAAAGAGCAGATACAGAAAGAGGGGCAGCTTAATACGAGATACAGATTAATTAGCAGCATTCAAAACCAACTGCTAAGAGAAAACCTTTAATTGCTGGAAAAAGACACCTTATCACACTGTCCGTACCGAACTTGATGTACAAGTCACACCTACTAAGGCTTACTGTCCAGAAAACTAGAGGTTCAGTGCACCTTATGCAATGCTATTAT